CTTTTTAAAATGACTCTCATCATCAGAATGTTTTTTCTTACAAACCAAAATATGCCTCTCTGCAACTTCTGCCTGCTAGAGCCCGCCTCCATTTGACAGCTCGTCAGTGTTTGAAAACAAGTAACACGCCTTTTCTGTGTTCCCTCTCCAGCTACATATGTCTGACTTCTGCCATTCTTTAGCAAACATGCTGTTCAGAGCTGAGCTAGCCCGCTCGGAACTGTACCTGCAGCTGACCACGGTGCAGCAGACACTGCGCCCCCGGACAATTCTAGCCTCTTGTGACAGTTTGGGATCTAAATATGTCCTCAGATGTGTTCGCTGTCACTCTGCCTCGGCCCATCAGAAGGGTATCACGTGGCTGGGGAGATAGCTCAGTAGAATAAGCACTTCTCTGGCAAGTGCAAGGGCATGAGTTCAATCCCCAGTTCCGCAAAACAAACAAACAACAACAACAACAACAACAACAAAGAAGAGTATCATAAGACACCACATGTAGGCAGCACTGCTTCCATAGGGCAGCATCTGGTCAGCCTGACAAGTAGAGACCACAAGAGTGACCCTCAAAGAAAGAGCTTATGTGGGGTTTTAGCATGGGTACACGATGTAGGGGGTTTATGTTGAAACTCAAACCATCTCAAAGATAAAAGGTTAATAAATGAGCAGCTGTGGAGCTACTGCACAAATACCACACTGTTCCCTTCCAAGGAGATGGCAGAAAAATATACCCTCTCTCTCCCACAACCACCAAGGGGCCTCCCTGCTCCCTGCAAGCTTCCTCCGAGCTGCTCTGCTGCCCTCTGGCGACCGACTTCTGCAGAAGACTCAAAGGAGAGAGGAACCTTTAGGAAGCCACATGGAAGACATGGGATTTCTGACCAGGAGCTACCCTGGGACCAGGGGAAAAGGGGGCCAGTTTAGGTAGCATGAGCCTTCCAAGGAGCTATAAAAAGGAAAGGAGAAAATTAGGCAAACACAGGCTTCCAGTGTGTAGCAGAACGAGGTACAGTGGATGCGGCTACTTCCACTGAGTTAAATCATGCGAATCTGCACCCAGCAGAGCATTTGTTACTGCCTTTTCTCGCCTAAAGTACAGCCTGGCTTTCTGCCCTTCAGTGGAATAAAGTAACAACTGAAAAGGCTCCAGCCAATGCTGGCATCTCTTAGGTCCCTAATAAAAATATTTGCTTCCTTTACATGCTCAGAGGATGCCTCTGTACATCTGGGTCACCCTGGTGTCCTCAACCCAAACACAGGACAGGGAAAACTGCTAAGACTTTTACCATAAAGCATGACACATACCCAGTAGATCCTACATGAATCAATAAATTATTAGTAAATGCCACTTAACTCCTAAGCCCACTCCTAAGTGCCTAAGTGTCCCAGGAACAGATGAACATTCCTGGATTTTTTTTTTTTTTAAGACCAAATCTTGCTATATTATATAGTCCAGGCTGGCCTTGAACTTACAATGTGGAGCCCATGCCGGCCTGCAACTCTAGGTGATCCTCCTGCCTCAGCCTCCTTGAATGTTGGGATTACAGACCTGTGTCACATGCTAGGGCCAGCAAGGCAAAGACATCCACAATAAGTGGAGGGGGAGGGGCCTTCCAGGAACTTCCTCTTAATAGAGAATTTGAAGATCACTAGCTCCCCCATGGTCGGTTTCAAACCCCTGGGGTACTAGAATCCTTCTTGGGGAAGTGCCAGCCCAAGGTAACTCCAGAATGAGCCTTCTGATGCAAAATGTCTTTCGGGAGAATGAATGTGGTGGGGGGAGGGGGTTACTGTCCTTGAACACCTTCCCTTTATGGCTCTGGGAATAAGACTGAGAATAGGGCCGGATCTCTCGATTTCTTGCCAGGGAAAGGAGGATTGCATTTCAAAAGGACCTAAAACAATTAGACCTCAGATCACACCCCCATCTAAGCAATAGGGAAGCCAAAGAACTCTAGGCCAGCAGTGGGATGGGGAAGGGACAGGAATCTGGGAAGACTGGTCCTCTCGGCTGGCTTCTTTAGTCTGTCCTCCCCCCCCCCATACACCTTTTAAATGAAAATGCTAGATCTAGTTCAGGATAATGACAGCTATCATCAATTTGGCCCCAAATTTCCATCTCTTTTGCAAGGGTCCAAGTGGAAGAAGAAAAATCCTAGAGACATTCAGGGCTGCTATTTTGGGTTCTTTACCTAAGATTGCAAAAAGACTAGTAGATTTTGCACTGACAGACCAAGGGGGGAGGGGGAGGTGGGGCTCCTATCCATTCTAACTTGACTCAGATGTTCCGGCCCCTCCCAGGGTGAGTCACGAACTGCCTGCCCCAGGGTGCAGCTGGAAAGCAGAGGCCACAGAGACTTGGAACTATCTGGTTATTAATACATTACCCCGGATGCTGCGGCTTCTTTGAGCTCGTCCCTCACCCTTTTGCTCACTGTTTCCAAGCCTAGACAGATCCCTCGAAGGGAGGCTCTCAGCATGCCAGTCCAGGCGCAGGGCCCGTGGCCAACCATATCAGGCGCCTCTTACCTATCTGCATGACTCTGCCGAAGACAGACGTGTTGTTCACAGTGCTGCAGTTCCACCGCCTCTGCCGGAATTGGTGTTGGCACTCCCTGATGCCCGTCTTGGCGCCCTCCGCAATGTAGACCATGTGTTCTTGGTACAGTTGGCACAGCTTTCTCTGGCCAGGGGAGAGCCCAGGCAGCTGACTGCACACAGGCTGAGCGCCAATGATGAACATCTCGGGCCTGTGCACTGGATTCATAGCTAACGACCTGCGCCGGCAACACAGAAAGGGGGAAAGGCCACGGCGTGAGCACGCACCTGTGCACGGCACTAGGCCCTTCATCCAGCTGCTTACCGAATACTTTCTGTGTAGAGGGTCCTGGACTAATGACCAAGGACCTGGAGGGAAAAATTAATAAAACAAAGTGTATGCCTTGAAAAGACACACAGGGAGACCAAGCCATGAACACAAACAGCACACGAGATGTCCAGTGCCTAGATCCACAAGATGGTTAGAAGACAGCTGGATTGCGGACTGGCCTTAGGATGAGAGGCAGGAGCAAGGGAGATGCGGTGGGTGGGGCAACTGGGCACTTGAGGCAGAGGGCAAGAGCCAACCGCTCACACACCTTGCACGCCTTGCTTGAGCCATAGGCTGATTAATTCAGTTAAGTTCACAGGCAGCTCCATGATGCAAAGCAGCAATCAGAGCCCGTAAGTGGCCGCATGTTACAATACACACCGAATGCTTCCGCGTCCTGCCTCCCCCCGCACACCCCTGAACCACCATTGCTCAACATGCTCACCATCTGTCGGACACGGCCAAGCGTTCAGCTCGACGGGAACGCTACAGATTTGCCATCTGAATAAAAATGCCGGGCAAAACCGTGCAGAATAGGTGGCGATGATCTGCCACCTCCAGGTTGAGTTGGCACTGCCGGCAGCCTTAAGAACACAGAGCTGTGCAGGCTGCCACATGACTGTCATCCCAGCCACTCGGGAGGCTGAGGCCAGAAGACCTCAAGTTTGGGGCCAGTCTGGGTAACTTAGTGAGAGCCTGCCTCAAGACAATAACAGAAAGAAGGCTACAGTGCAGGCTCTGGGGCACAATGCCCTGGGTGCCGTCCTTAGCGGCGCAAAATAAAACACACGGGAAGCAAGCCAGGCCTGGTTCTGCAAATCCCACATCTGGTCTTCAGGCTGTTATAATGGGAATTTTACTCTCTCTGCCTCTGCCAGAAAAGGAAGGAAAGGAGGGAGGAAGAGAAGAAAGGCAGAAGGGAAGGAGAGAGATGCCTAACTTTTTCTAAGATACCACATCGCTGTGCTGCCCAGCTGGCGCTGGCACTCCGGGGCTCACATAAACCTCCTGCCTTGGCCTGCTGAATAGTCTCTTCCTACACCACTGTAAAGCCTAGCTTTACAGGTTATTTTCTTCTTCGGAGCAGGGGATCAAATCTAGGGCCTCATACATGCTGTCAGCATTCTTACTGACCCTGTAACAATAAGAGGCTATTTCTAAGAGTTTTACAGATGAGGAAAGAACCAGAAAAAAAAAAATTATAGACAGGATCACAGAGAAAACCAAATGAATGAGTAGTTTACCCTTGCAGAACCCTTACTGCTAGGACCTGAGAGGGCAAGAGATTTCTCCTGGCTTTCCTGGATGCAAAAGGCCCCTCCTGATCCTCTAGCTGCGGCTGTAATCCCCCTCTCCGCACCTCCATTACCAAAGGAGCCTCAGGGTGGAAACAGGACCGAAGTCCCTCGCACTCACCACCAGGAGCTGGCTTCTGTCAGCAGCTGGGCCCAGCTGGAGAGCAGAGCCACAGTGAACAGCAGCAGCAGGCTGGGCATGGTCGGCCTCAGCCCACCCCAGTGCCCTGGGACTGGCAGCTTCCAAGGTGGGGCTCCCTAGAGAAAAAGGAAGAAGGGAGAGTCAGTGTGCACATGGGACAGACAGACCCAGGAAGACCAGGGGAGAAGGGAGAGGTGGAGCACAGTGCAAAGGATGAGCTCTAGGGTGGACCTAAGGCAAGTTCTCCCCCCAGATCCCAGCCCCTTTCCAGCCGCCACCTCATTCATTCTTTAGGGGATCCCAGGCCTTCACACCAATCCACATTCCCCCACACTTTTCATGTGAAAAGGGATCTCTAACTTGCTAAATTGCCTTAGCTAGGCTTCCAACTTTCTGATCTTCCTGCCTCAGCCTCCTACAGTGCTGGAATTTCAAGCATGCACCACCCAGCCCAGCTCCAACATCTACCTCTTACTGCTTATTTTCTCAACGGTAAGGCTTTTGGGTCTCTCACCCTAAACTGTGGGAACACGACTCGGGACCTAATTCCAAAGGAAATGAGCTGAGAAACCAGAAATAAAACAAAGAAACAAAACCGAATCATTTCAAGAACAGAGCGTGCTCAGCGTGGCGTTTGGGAAGCTGCTTTGGCTGCTGCGGGGCACACTTGGCATTCCAGAACATCCAGTGAAGAGGGTCATCCAGGACTTTGATTTTTTTTTTTTTTAACCTCTTTCTCTAGCCCAGGTATTTACTGATTTACTGATCATCTTTGCAGGGGTTATAAAACTGATGAACTATATTTAGCTTCACTAAAATATAAGTCTTTTAGGGGCCAGGGAGATGGCTCAGTGGAATAAGTGCTTCCCTGGCAAGCACAAGGGCCTGATTTCAATCCCTGGTTCCGCAAAAAA